GTGTTATGTTCAATAAAATACGTGGAGTCGGACTCTGTGCTCACTGTCGTTTATTCTCAGGAGACACACTTTATATCGCAACGCTTTTCGGCAACTGCCTGCTTTACGGTCGTGACGTCACGCCGTCGCAACATTACCCAATGGCTGTGGTTACATGCCACAGTTAGCTTTTACATAATGATGAGTGATAAATATGTAATAGAGAAAAAGGCTGATTTAAGGAGGCTTCATATGTAAACACCCCGGCCCTTGTTGAACCCTCAATTATCAAGGGTGGAACATCTTTTCAAACATGTTCTCCTACTTCAGTAACGAATGTGGCACTGCCTCTTTGAAATTGTGCTCACCCCTTTTGACTCCCCCCGCCCCCTTTGTTGTTGTTGTTGACGTCCATGAGGAGGTCAGCATTTCTAATTTCATTTACAAGTTTAAAGTATTTTAATACATTCGCGTGCAACGTAATTTATGTAGACGCTACGCGGTATCACCGTAATTGACGGGAGGACATTGTTTTCTACGGGAAGCTTGTTGACGCGAAGCTCGTGCGGTTCCCGCGGCCTTTGGCCGGGTCCTACGTCTGCTTGAAGCTAAGTAAGACTGCGTCCTACCGCTCTCTTTAACCTCATGACTGCGTGCGTCCTGATACGCCTGCGTGGGAAGCCAGAAAGTAGCCATGTCGCTGGCCGTCATCCTCTCCCACGCCGCCACGCGAGTCGGAAATAGGAGCTGCTTTCTCTTCTAAGCGGCAGCAATCGGCTCACGTTGTTGAAGTCTGTCACCGTCATCGAAGGTGGACCGGCGCAAACAGTTAACATGGCAACAAAAACATTGACAGATGACCGTCGACGGCCTCGCGGCGCGGCACACCCTGAAGCGGAGAAGGCACTTTATACTGTATTACATGTACAGGTTTTGACATCCGTAACCCTGCACTCTGCATCGTAGCTGGCGGCCATTTTTTGGGGAAACAGGTGCAACAAATTAGCGTCCTGACGTACAGATTCATTACGTGGTTCGACTGGAACAATGCAATAAATACCTGATCCTCCTCGTCCTCCTCTTCTTCCTCCGCCAGTCTTTGTCGGCCAACTTCATAAAGGCGGCAGACTGTGTCCGTGTTGATGGAGTCTTGGTTCTATGAAATAAAAGCATCGTTTTAGCATTTGTCCATTAGCATCCATCGCCTATCCGGGGTCGGGTCGCAGGGGCAACAGCTGTAGCAGGGAAGCCCAGACTTCCCTCTCCCCAGCCACTTCTTCCAGCTCTTCCCGGGAAGTGCGAGGCGTTCCCGGGGCAGCATGTCCTGGGTGGTCCCTGGGGCCTCCATGCCCGGAACACCTCACCAGGGAGGCATCCAGGAGGCATCCTTAATCAGATACCCGAGCCACCTCATCTGGTTCCTCTCCGCGTGGAGGAGAAGGACTCGACTCTGAGCCCCTCGTGGATGACCAAGCTTCTCACCCTCTCCCTAAGGGAGAGCCTGGACACCCTGCATAAAAACTCATTTCGGCCGTTTGTCTCTTCAGGTCACGACCCATAG